ATATATATTTTTTGTTTTGTTTTGTTTTAATATTTAATATTTTAAAGACGATCTCCCAGTTAAGATCCTTGTCATAATTAAACACGATAATCTCTTTAAATTAATTATCCCGACGAAAGAGATTGGCGGAATTAGAATAATACACGAGATCACACTCGAGATATCATCCATATATTATATATATATATATATATATATATGTATATATTTGTTTGTTTTTCTTGTTTATATTACTTTTTTTCCTTCATTTATTTTTGTTCGAAACGATCCCCATAAAAAGAGATCACCACCTATATGTGTATTATTAAAATGATGGCTGTATAGTTTTTTTTTTATTTTCGTAATTTGGTTGCACACTCGTTACGATTCACAGCACGAGAATTTCACGCGGATAAAATATATATATACGTATGAGAAGAGTGTGTATGTGTATGTTGTATGTACGAGTGTGTGTATACATTATCCGCGCGATTAAAGAATAATGGCACAAGAATAATATGTTCCTTAAAGTGAGAGTCGTTATTTTCTTTTCTTTTCTATTCTTTTTTTTTCGCTTTTTTTGTTGTTGTTGTTGTTGTTCTTCTTCTTCTTTTTAGGTCTTTAAGAAATAAACTAGATGTTTCATTCGTCACAAGGCGATTAGGTGCGTTAGAAGATTCACGAAAAGATAGTGATCACTTCTCGTCCGCTACCCCGCACCATTAGTACCCTTTCCAATCTTTCCGTCAATACTTCTAGGAATTCCATATCTGTATTAAATATCATTAAGGAAATAACATATTGGATGTGTATTTTTTCAATGTTATTAATTATAAAAACAATGTAAATCAAGGTTTCTCAAAATACCACTTGCCCGTCCCCTTTCCTTTTTGGAAATTTCAACTAAAGTAAGAAAGTTTTGTATCTATAATTAATTCACAATCATTATAGATGATACTATGCTTTGTTTGTTAGTTTACAATAAGTGAAATAGAAGATGATATTAAAGATTATTGAAAATATTTTTACTCGGATAATAATGGTATTTGTTGGAGAAACCATGATTTACATATATGGATCATTTATTATTGATATATGGCATTTATGTTTGTTATTAATAATAAATACGTATGAGATGTTGAATTTAACAATTGTGTGATTGTTAGAAAAAAAATGTTTTAGAAAATTGTACAAATTTTCATCAATTTGTTTTAGATCAGTTTTGAAAAATATATATAATATTAGTTTTATTATAAAATATTGTATAGGAGGAAATATTTGATTTAAGTTTATTTTAAAACGTCTCATACGTCGAAACAAAAATAATAATTAATAATTATTATTTAAATAATGTAAAATAAAAAGGATACAGCTTGATTCGCGTTCCATTCTCGTATCTCGTGGTGGACCAGGTAAATTAAGTATAACCAATTGAGCGTCATGGCTCTTGTTCACGATTACTTCGTTTAATTTAACAGACGTATGCATACGTCTCACGTCACTTTCGTCACTGAAAAAACAAAATTAAATGTTCGTATAAGATAGATTAAATTTCTACTTTTAATGTATAAACATATTTTTTTTTTTTACAAAACAATCAAATATATTAACGTATAATTAATATATTTGTGAAAAGAAATAAAACGTACGGTTTAAGCGTAGGTGGCATTTTAGAACAAGGATTTTCCGCTTTGTTTTCCTGTTCATTTTCCTTAGCCTCCTTTTGAGCATTTTCCTTGTTTTCCGTTTTCGGCGATCCACCGATCAATTTAGTAGCCTCGTCCGGATTTTCCTTACTTTCGTCATCCAATTTTTCGTTATTACCGATATCTTCCGAATCCTTTTGTTCGGAATCTCGAACAAGAGTTTCTTGTGGTTCGTCTGTTTCATTGGCATTCTGACTACCGGGTTCTTGAAATCTTACTTTGGATGGTACCTTCACGTCTACGTTGTGATGATGATCAACTATAGCCTGTACCTGTATATAATGATTGAACAAACAAAATTTATGAATTAATATAACATTCAAATGTCTTATATCTGAACAGCGGATAAAGTCAAAACAAAGTTTATTATGCCGTGGGATTAAACTAAGATACTAATTTTCTAAAGCACTATGGTCGCCAAACGTATTAGGAATTCTATTTCAAGCATTCGAAATGAACGTGCCAATCAAGCTGAAACGGTAAGGTCAGATTTTGTTTTTTTTTTTTTTTTCGAGGAGGGTGTGGTTATTACAGATGTTTCCTGATAGAGGTATTCGAAAATTCAATTTCAATAAAACCGTACGAATATCTTTGTGAAAAATAAATGATGTAAAACAATTACAGTAATTTTCTTTCAATATTTCTTTCCTTTTTATCTTCAATCATTTTTACATACGCAAGATACGTTTTATTTGATTTTTATTTTATCGACGACGAATGAGTGTAAAATCAGTAGACAAAAATTGGAGAGCTAATCTTTGTGATTCTATTTGTTTATAAGAATAAATTATAAATTATTCAATAAGATAATATAAATATACACACGCGCGAATAATCGCGTAAAATTATTTGTTACTATTACAAAAAAAAAATACCCCGAAAATTTATTATATTGTAGATAATATAAAAAAGTATAACAAAATTTATATACGGGGTTCGATGATATAAATTATTTTCTATATATATATTTTAGTCCCCTCTATCAGTTTTCATCCGATCGATGAAATTATTTTTGTATAACTTTGGACGAAATTGGGAAATCGTGAAAATTTATGTTGTGTAGGTTTTTCTTTTTCTTTTATCGTTAGGAATAAAACAAAGGATAATGGGATCAACTTCGACATCGTGATTTATTATGATGTCGAAATTTTGGATAGACACGGAATTGTCGGGGGATGATCTGACAAACCAGAGGTAATTTTTCCTCGCCGGATACCTCGTTGAAGTCCACCAATGGCTGCACCTTATCCTTGACGAGCACACAACAAAGAGACACATTCCGATCAGTAATCACGACTTTTTTTTTATAATCATATTTACTTGTTTTCTTTTTCTTTTTTTTCTATATATAAATCAAGTTCACAACATTTATATACCCCCCATTTGATTTTGTTTTTTTTGCTATCTACGTTCTTTAAAAAAAAACGAAACGAGTAACGAAACACAATTACAGACGAAACAAAAAAAAACAAAAAAAAAAAAAGACAAGACAAACAAACAATTGGATTTTGATGATATTAATTCGCGAGGGATAATTTTTAATTTCAAACGAAACTCACCACTCCTCGCGATTCCTTGGTATTCAACTGCAACTCTCTCAACACTTGATTCCTTTGTTCCATTAGCAGGGTTCTTTCGTAAGTATATTCGGAGATGTCGGAATTCATCTGGAAAAAAAAATTACGAATTACGTGTGTGTGTGTAAAAGAATAAAAAACAAAGAAAAAAGATATAGATGACAAATAAAATATGTTTGAATTTTGACGTATACCGAACAACACAACACGTTGCTGTTACCGATGGTCACTGTGATCAAATTTCCATCGACAAATCGTAAACAATATAAAAACAATCATATATTATAATTGTCAAAATAAATTGATAATAATTACCATTTCAACTATTTCAACTTCGGCTTCGATTCTTAAATCGTAGAGGAACTTTTTCAAATCTTTCTTCATTTGTATAGAATTGTCTTCCATTTGTGCGACAGTGAAGATCCTCATTTTACAATTTTTCCATGTACGATGTTGTTTCAAAAGGAACGGCAATAACATGAGAAGACCACCGTCGTGTACGATCCACCATATGTCGATATTACCGACAACCTTTTCCGTAGAATCGGGGAAAAAGTTGATACCCTTTGGTACCAGCAATGCCATTCTTGCTGCAGTAACGCTTCTTACAGTTTGTAAAAATACTCTCCAACTTCTTTTATCCTCGGATTTTTTCCAACCGTAGGGCCAACCAAGGATAACGGTGTTAGGTTTCATTCCACCCAAACCAGTCGTCTGTACCAACGAACTTAAACCATCGACAATGTTACCCGCCACCAAAACATCGACAAATCCTTTAACTTTTTCCTCGTTAGCTGTGTTACGTAAGCTCTGTTTGGCGGCCAATGCTTCACCAGAATTTTGAATATAATCACCGGCAATGCAACTGACGCAAATGGTCAAACCCTTGCCCGCCTTCAATTGACTGGCAAATGCAAACAATTTTCTATACTTTGGCACGAGATCGTCGGTCAATTTGGCCAAGATCAAGATCTGCGGTCGCCAATTTTTCGTATGGGGTGGTCCTTCCTCGAGTCTCAGAAGAGAATATCTGGCTGCTGATAACGCTAGACCACGTATACCATCACCCCATTCCTTTTCAGCGCCACGGTACTCGATGTATTTGTAAATGCAACCTGCCATTCCCATAGCGAGTAATGCATAATACCAACTGGTCATGAACATGATAGCTATGCACAAGGCCAATCCGAGGAACGACAAACTCCAATGATAATATTTGAAACGTGGCCGCCAATTGGGTGTTCTCAGTAGGGTTTGCAATGCACAAGCCAAATTAACGAAACCGTAACACATCAAGAAAAACATGGAAAGCAATGGTGCCAGGTAATCGACGTTTCCCAATAAAATACCACACTGACATATTAATACTGTTAATACTAATGCACGCGTAGGTTCACCGCGACTCGAGCTAACTGCGAATGGCGTTAAAAATGGTATTATACTGTCCTTTGCGATGGCTTGTAACAATCTTGGTGCACCGGTCAACGATTGTAATCCAGCACCCAATGTGGAAAGGAACGAACCGATCAATATCACCCATTGATTAGGCCAAGCTATGTTTGCCACCACTAATTTACCACCTATACTTTGACCAAATTTATCCCTCAACAATAGATTGTCCACCGTACCGGCAAACAATAGAACGTTAGACAGGTACACCGTTGAGGTCGTTAATATGGCACAAATTGTACCAATCGGAATGGATTTTTGTGCGTCCGCGAGATCTCCAGATCTATTCGATCCAGCCATAATACCTTGGTAATCGAGATCAAATTTAGTTTAATTAGATCTCTCTTTTTTTTATTATTTTAATTTAAAGAACAATTTTATATTCTTACCTGTCACCGATGGGAAGAATATACCGATGAGAATGGTAAATGACGTTGTTAAATCTACCGTTATCTGATTGTAACTATTGCCAGCCATATTGTCAATATCTTTAGGATTGCTACCGTAAGCTATCAGTTGACCATCTTCTTGAAAACTATCCCATATGTTTTCTATACATTGGACAAGTCCAATTTTCTTATATTCCTTTCCTCTATCCACGTATTATTCTTATATAAATATGTTGGATTTGACTTACCTAAAAATACGCCACTTGCCAACCCACGAATACCGTTTATGATGGTAACATTATTTTGCATATAATACGGATCGCATTTGGTAGTTGTAGTGTTTGTTACGTTATGGCAATAAACGTTGTAAAGGTGACCACCAGGATTTTTGTTGCATTGGGTCATTACATCGAGATCTTTTAATAATCTTTTACCGAGTACACACATTCTAAATGAAATAAATTTAATAATTAATTGAACCATTTCGTAACGGTACCTATATATAGTATATATGGGTTATACTATGGAGACACAGGGAGGAGGTGGGTTCGTAAAGAAAAGGTTAATACGTAATATACATATATATATTAATACGAACTTCAATGATTCGTTTCCGTTGAAATTCACGAACAATCCAACGTAGACCGCGATGATCGATAATATGACACAAGCCAAGGCAACCGTAGCAAATTTGTTCACGAACTTAACACCAATGAATACTATCGTGCCCATAACCAACAGCAAGCCCGTACCGTAAACTCGAAAATTATTGTACATTATACTCGGGTCCTGAGTAAAGTCACCGAATATACTGAGTTTCGGTGCCATGTAAGTCTGAATATTAGGAAAACCAAGAGAAATGTTATCATGATTTTTGATCATTCGATACAATGATATTATTAATATAGGTGGATAATGAATAAGAAGAAAAAAAAAAGATATATATTTTATATAAGAATTGATTTTTACCAATACTATTTCAACAGCTCCGATAATATACATAGCTGCTGCTAAAGTGGTACCCGTGTAAAACAACATACCAACGGCACCACCAAATTCCGGACCTAAACTTCTTGATATCATGAAATAAGAACCACCGGCTGGTACAACACCGTTTGTTGCAATTGCGCTCATACTAATTGCCGTTAACATCGTCTGAAAGTTAAAATATTATTTCTAATTAATAATCGTAAAGTATTTTATCTATATTGACAATTGTTATTTAATCATAAATTATATATAACAACAAGTTTTTCTCTCGTTTTAAAGTATACGATCAAACACTTTCGATTAAGTTGATTTTATTAAGGAAACTTATTTAAAAATAAAACTTGAAATATAATATTTATTATTATCGTTTAAACGCGACAATTTAAAAAAAATAATTAATAAAATAAGATAATTTGATCTTAAGATTGTTGATAAATATTCGTGGCCGTGGGGTGAGTTGAGCATGAACCAAAAGTTGTGAGATAAATATAAGTGTAGTAATAATAAGACATTGTAAAAAACTTTGTAAGTTGTGTAATAAGAACTTGATTATATATATAATTAATAAAATAATTTATTCGAAAGGATTAATTTACGAAATAATATTAATGATCGTTTATAAAATGAAATACTTGATACAGGATAAGAAATGTTCTGTACGAATAGTAACGAAATGATTTGAAATAATAATTAATAATAATAATAAATAATTGTTAAAAGTTGATTGAGACTTACCACACAACAACAGCATAAAACGATGAAAAAACATTGAATCGCACCGGCAGTACCGACGACCCACGTCAAACGAATAAAAAGTATAACACCAAATATATTTTGTATACAGGGAAGAAATACGCCAATTAGGGTGCCCATGCGAGCACCGCCACCTGCAGCTGGCGCTGGTTTGCTGTCAGGATCGGTCGCAGCTGGAATTGTGTTGCTGTAATTTGCCAAACTGTTGAGTAACGTCGATATCCGGGGTCGATCTTCCATCTCTTCCTGTGAAATCAAACGAGAAGATATGAAAATTGCGTAAATCAAAGCTTAGATACTTTGTCAATTCAAATTTATCTTAAAAACATTGATTTGTATCGTAGACAAAACAAAAAATAAAACTAAATCAGAACTTCTTTAATTTATTCACTTAGCAATTAACCCATACAAAGTTGCAATCCCATATGAAGTGAAAAATTCAATTGGGGACACTCATTTTTAAAAAATATTTTTCTAATCATTTAAATCAAATCTTATATCAAACTTTTCCACTTGGTAACCCCCATACGATACTAAAAATTCAATACAACGAATATAATAATAATTTAATATTTTTGTAATGATTTAAATCAAAGTTTATATCAAACTTGGTAACTACCGCATACGGAATTGCAACTCACAAACGATTTTCTTTGGATAAATTTTGAAAAGTGAATGTCATATTTAGGTGTTTACTTTGATAAACTTCGAAGAAATTTTTAATCAAATTCTGTCTTAATATCGACTTAATGTAAAATAAAGTAATCTCTTTTTAAGATACTCTCGCGGATTTTCGCGTGAGTGTATCGGCCGGAAAATGCTCGCTTCGAATTAAATCGGATCGACAGGGGAGTTCACGCTGCGACGAGCACCAGCAACCCTTTTCAGTGTAAGCGATGAACGTTTAACGCATTGAATGTGGTTGAATATTTATTGACAAGAAATTTGGCCGGTTAAACTCATTGTCCTTATATTATCTAACGAGATACGTGAATTTTGTGTGAAGAATTTCATTTCGAATTTATTTTTGTTAATCATTTACCTTTGATAATTATCAACAAAACTCACAGACATATTATAAATCTCAAACTATTTATTATTGAATTCATTATATTGAAAGTCAATTCGTGAATGATAAAAATCAATTCATAATATTCTACGTCAAAGAATATTTTCATTTTTATTCGATATATAGGATATGTTTAGAAAAATCTAAAAAAAGATCTGGATTCTAATAGTTTGAATAAATTCATTAATGCTTCATTAATAAACGTCAATTTGTTTGATATTTTCAATAACGTTAACAAAATCTTTATTCTTTAGGAAAAAGGATTATTAATGTTTGATTATTAAGAGTCAATTGTTTTGATATTTTCTTAAAAACCTTTGAAAAAAGGAAATCTTTATTCTTTAGGAAAAAGGGTTTATAGTTATCGAATAACGATCGTTCCTCGTTCGATAATAGTCAAAGGAAAATGGACATATTGGCAAAGATGGACGTATATATAACTGTGGTAGTCTCTCGAGAGACCACTTAACCCTCGTTCGGTTTACTTTGAGAGCTTTCATTATATATATATATATGACATCAAGGGAGAGAATAAGAAACGTTTATGCACGATATACCACCTAATAAACTGGCCCTTCTATGTATCATATTATATGCATCCAAAGGGTTCTCGATTGCTCATACGTTCGAACACGTTAACAGAGTTAACGCGTTTAACTTGGAAAATGTCAAAGAAAAATCGATAATTATTTCTCGAATAAATACCAAATTGTTCCGTTCTTTTGTTTTTTTTTGTATTTATCATTGAAAAATAGATCAGCAAAAAATACGAAATTATTTTCATCGATAAATTACTTTTGGAATTTTTAAAATCGTATTAATTAATGAAAATATATTTGTATAATTTATTGGCCGATTATACAATATTTTATTGGATATTTAAATATAAATGAAATTTATTATTCATATTGGTTATACGTTTAATGTTTTATACAATCTGATGTATATATTTATTAAATTTATATTTAGATCAAAAATATGGGTTAGGGAAGTCATTAAGACGACCTATCGAGTACTGTCAGAGATTGACGTCACCGTGTAACGAAATGTTAACCACGTTCGTGAAAATCTTCTTCGCCTTGACTTTAATTTTTGCAAACGTTCGCTTCAATGCCGGATCGAACCTTCCTCGTTTGTTTCGCGTAAATAAGGTCGACCACTTTTTCTTTTTTTGCTTTTTTTTGCGAAGTACATTATTTCGTAGATGCCCACGTGGCTAGCCGACAAGAGGTTTAATCATCTGCATGATCTTACGAAAAGAACCGTGATTCTCTTATTTACGTCAAAATACATTTTTTATTTTGATATTTGAAAAAGAAGAAGAAAAAAGAAAAAAGAAAAATGAATGGTACAAAAAATAAATATCTTATTTTTAAATAGAAAAATATAATCTATCCAAATGTTATTTGGATTATTTATAATACAACAACAGTATTTTTATTATTATTAATATTTGTTTGTTGTTAAATATATAAATGAGTAATATGTTATTAGAAAATAAGAAAAAGAAGGAATCTGTTAAGGATAACAGACAATACGGGAGAATGAAGCAATTATCCATATGGGAGACTTTAATGCTGGAACAGGAAAAGAATGCAACTATTTCGTGTTGGAGAAACGGAAGAGAAATGAAATAAGAAAAAATCGATAAAATATGGTAAAAAGAAGCTATACGAGAGGGAAGAAGAAGAATACACATAGATTAGTATTATTTTTCAAACAATGAATTATTTAAAATTAATCCACCATTTAAAAATGATAATATCAAATATAATTGAATATATTATATAATCATCTTATATATAACTTCTTTTTAAATATAAGATATATCACACACCACACATACTTATTATCATTTTTATAATTTTCTCTAACCAAATAATAATAATAAAAATAAATAAAACAACGAATTCATTTTCAATCTTATCAACCACTCGTTCAATTTCAACGAAATAAAACACATTCACATTCATATTATTATTATTTTCTTATAGAAAAAAATTAACAGGGGTAAAGAAAGAGAAAAAAGAAAAAAAGAAAAGATAGATTTGTTAATCCTTTAGATTGTTAAAATGGAGAAGGTGAAAAATCACGATAAAAATGTAGCCAACCTATTCTACTCTTTTCTTCTCTTCTTTATCTCTAATCCAATTCTCGCGTGTCATGTCTTTCTAATTTCTTTGGACGAGCTTATCCGTGGTCTGGGTTGGGCTCATGATGTGATCCGTGTAGAAATGTGTCTGTGCTTTCCTGCCACGTGGGTAACCGATTTCAACGAGATACTTCTAAAGGGTTTCCTATTTTCCACCCCCTTACGTAGCTTATCGTACAAGATTACTTCAACTAAAAACATGTGTGCTTACTAGTGGGGTATGTTGTTAGTTACAGATCAAATTTACGAGTGCGATAATAATCCTGAGAAGACGAGACGAGAACAAAAGAGGGGGGTGGGAACGGGGACAGGTAACAGGGGGATAAGGTTTCAAAAGATAACAAAAATGGAACGATTAAATGGCAACAAAAATATCCCCGATCATTTGTTTTTAATAATCATTTTTTTTTTTATATTATTTAATATTGTATTTCGTTGTTTTTTTTTGGGTGTACTATTTTAAATTAATAAAAATGTTTCTTTTTTCTTCTTTTCTCTTTTAAAAGGTAATAGGAAAATTATGCGATGCTAAATGTATATTTTCTTTTTGTTTTTTTTTTGTTTTGCTCTGAAACGTTTAAATTCTAAATGAAGAAACTTGAGTGTGATGCCACGTTTAAGATATCCTATAAATAAATGTAGATCTTTAATTCGATGTGATATATTTTACAATGATTTCAAAATATCTATTATTTTACGAGAAAATTTTAATCATTCATTCATTTTCTTTAATCGTTCGTTGACAAAAATCTAAACATAATACAATAAAACGATTTAGAAAATAACGAGAAAAATAAAATATAAAAGATAATTTTATTCTAAAAATAAATAAAAGTTAGGATATTCGTTCGGTGTAAAATTTCTGATCAAAATAGAATGCAAGATTTCTCTCTCTCTCTTTATATATATAGAATTTCACGAGTCACTTTTTAGATGTTCATCGATTATTATGTTTATCCTACAAACTCGTGGTATTGTTCGAAGAAAAGAAAACTATAAAACTCAAGTTTTATATCAGATAACTCGAGAGTTTTTCGTGTTCTCGAAAAGCCGACAGATGTTGTTGTTGTTGTTGTTCTTCTTCTTCTTCTTACTCGCGAAAAGTGTGGGAAAAAAAGATTTTAAAAAGAAAGAAAAGAAGGAAAAAAAACAACAAGTAGCAGTAGAAGAAGTAGAAGAAGAAGAAAAAGAAAATGAATAAAGCTTTGCTATACACCCCTGTTGAAGAAAAAGTCAGAGTCGTTGATCTTATCGACGTCTTGATCGTCCTCCCCCTCATCCCCCTCTTCACCCCCCACCTTCTCCTCACTTTCTCTCTTCTTTCTATTCTTTTTCTTCTTTTTTCTTTCTTTTTATCACATTAATCGGAAAAGAAGCAAAGCGAATAATTGGATATCTACAAATCGAGGTCGAATTCAGGCCGACTTTAGACGATGAGAAAAAAAGAAAGAAAAAGAAAAATAGAATAAAAGTCTAGCGTAATATATTCTATTAATTAACAACCCGGAAACAAGAACGTTTCAAAGACCGAACCTTTTATATATATATATGTTCGAAGGAAGACTTTCTCACAAGTAAAAAATTTCTTTTCACTAATTCATCTGTTAGTTAATTTTGAATAAAAAAAGCCCTAGGAATAATTTGGGAATAGGTACGTTGGGTTATGCTCATTAATTCATTCAACATTTCCTATAGCTCCATTTTGTATTCTTTTTGTTTTCTTTTTTTTTTTCGAATACTAATTACTAATTAGAGAACGCCTATTACCGACTCGTATTTATTTAGATATAATTTAATAGTAACTTGGTATGAATATATAATAATATGTTAATGTTGTGTAATTAAATAAAATATATACACACAAATAAAAGTATTAATATTATTTTCTTTTTTTAAATTTATTATTAATAATTATATCTCTTTTAATCATTATTCCCATATTTTCTTTTATATAAAGTTAATAATATTATTCTGAATGAAATCTCTAATCTAATTAAATTAAATCTAATTAAAAATTCAAAAGAGAATACAAATAATTAATATTACGTTAGAAATAATCAAACCAATTCTCTCGAGGAGAGAATAATTAATAAGAAAAAAAAAAAAAAAAAAAAAAAGATAGAAAAAGAAAGAGATAAAATAATTGTAGAGTCATCTTTTCTTCTTCTTCTTCTTATTATTATTAATATTATTTTTAAAAAATTTTAAAAGATGTTTATTAAAATATGAAAAAGAAAAAATGATTATAAAGTGATTCTCGATATGACTTACGCTGTACAGGTAGAGATTCGTCTCGTAGCCAGATTTTTTTTCTGAATTTCCACCTCCCACGATGGGATCACCGTCCCCTCCGACGCCCCCTCCATCACCTAGAAAAATAAAATTCGTTTAACATTATTTTTTTTTTCCCATCCTCGTAGAAAAGCAAACACCACAATTCTCTTGTATTTCGTTAAATCAGCAGATCCGAATTTACGTTGTGTTCGATCAAACGTATCAAACCCCATATCCCACCCCCAACTTAACTTATTTACTTTCTCTCTTTTTTATTCTCGTTCGATAAATTATTTTCTACTTCCCCCCCCCCCCCACCCCTTCTCTATTAAAATTGTAAATACAACTTTTAATTTAATGTGTTACAATGTTAACAAATTCATGTTCGTTGTTAGGGTTAATCAAAAGTTCATCGTGCGTTTATTATTTTATAAACTGCATAATGAATTGTTTTTTTTTTTTGTAAGATTTATATCTTCGAAAATATGAATTTAAAAACGCACGAATCCTAATATTATTATTATTATTATAAATTTGTTTAGTTCGCACTGTGATTAGTTTTGAAATAGTCATCACAACAAGTGTCGCGTGAAAAAAATTATATAACGCGAAACTACGAGAAAATTATCGTTTCAACATTTGTTTTTGTCTCTTTTATAATTTCAAGACAAAAATGGAACAAGTAAAATACATTTATGAGAGAAAAAAAAAAGAAAAAAGAAAAAGAAAAAGAAAATTGTAGAATGAAATATAAAATATGATATTTGAGAAAGAGATATGGAATAAAAAAAAAAGAAAAAAAAAAAAAGATGGTGGATAGTCGTATGTCCGTCGTTGGATAACTTTTGATACAATTTCCGTTCTACATCTGGCGTTTATCCAACTGGCACATATCGCCCCGTTAGTCACTTTTCGCGAAGGAAAGAACTTTCGTCGGCACTTCCTTCCCCCTCCCCGTCCCCATCCACCTCCCCATCCACCCTAATCCTCCTTGTCCCTTTTTTTGGACAACGGGATATTTTCACTTCGTCCATTCTTGATAAGGGCCGGCGGCAGCGGTTGCACACGGGGTGGGGGGGTTTCTCGTTCGCACTCGACGAACTATTATTGCAAAACCCAAAAATGGAACAAAGAAAGGAAGAAGAAAAACTTGGGAAAACCAAACTACCTTTTCTGTTTGACCATTTCTCCCATTTCCTTTATTCCTTCCTCTTTTCCTTTCAATTCTCCTTGTACTTTCTTTCTCGTTCAACCCCCCTTTTTCTTTTCTTCTCAAATTGTGTCGTTGGTAAATTGAATTTTTTTTTTTAGATACTTTTCATATCAGAAAAATGTTAGAAAATATGAATATTATATATTTTTGTTTTATATTCCCAAAAACGTTTAATAATTTTTATTAAGAATTTGATTGAATTTTATTAGAGTTGTTAATACAGGGGTAAACTTTTTGTAAGACGTCAGATAGGTTCCTAGAAAATATCTTATTATATGAGATCAAAAGTTTATTATTCCTTCGTGTTATTACTTTAAGATAATTATAGTTTTGTAAATATGTTAAGTAAAAATCATGTTAACGAGTGGTAAATAGAAGTACAATGTTGTACAAAGATTATCCTTCTCAATTTTCTTATCGTGTTGTAGGTATAAGGGCTTCCTATAAATTCATTTGACAAAAATTCAAACATCCCCTATATAAGATTTAAAAATCCTTTATTCCTGTCGACAAAATAAATCGTTCATTTAATCTGTACTTAAATTAGTATTTTAATTTACCCACATATCAAAGTATTATGTTTTAATCTCGTAATACATATTCTTACAATAAGATTAGATTATCCTTTATTTTTCTTTTAACTATCAATAAAAATGTGAACTCGATAAATTCCTACATATATATACATGTATACACCATGTAATATAAGATACATTAGGTATGGAAAAATTTCCATTCGAGCGAACACATTGAATGTCATTAATATCTACTAGAACCGTCCCTTTCTATCCGACCTTTATTTTCTTTTTTCTTCCTTTTCCCTTACTTTTTATTTTTTCTCATACACCAAGGAAGGATAATTTGTCCGTAATTTAACGTCGATCGTTTATTAGGTCGCCTTTAATCGTGACAAATCGTCCCAGACGGTTCTTTCCTCTTGTGGAAACTTACAAAATGGCTGACACGACGACGCTAACAATCACGATCAAATAACCTTCTTCGTTTTTTTCCTTTTATGATCGTTAATTGGACGAACGTTTACTGTATATATATATATGCTTTGTGAACATAAAAATGAAATTAAAAATAACACAAAAAAATGGGAACGAATCTGGGAACGGGTGGAAAGAGGATAGGGGGGTGAGGTGGTCTATGAAAAAGAACGAAATAAAAAAAAGGAAAGAATAACAATTTTTCGTTTATACTACTACTAGCGTAATAATAACGTAAAGGGTTGGAGAAAGGTTTTTGGTTTGAAAACATTTAACGAGAATAATCATAAATGGATAGACAAGAATAGGGGATGCACACGATGATGGAATTAGAGAAGACGATTAAAGGGATTAGTATGCAGTTCATGACGATCTAGGTGCACCCCGTCGAGTGGAAATTTGTTACATATATAAATTATGAATATATAGAGACATATACGAGAAATAAGAGATGTTTCATGATTTAATCCTGTAATTTTTTCTATTTGAATAAACAACGTTCTGAAATGACGATTAAATGATTTGTAATTTGGTTTTTTTTTTTGCGTCGATTTCAAATGTTAATTAATTCAATTTAAAATGATAGTAATATAATGTAACGATCACTTCGTAATTGAAGAGATCAAAATGTTGTATTAAAGTAAAGTTAAAATTAGTTAAGTTTGTAAATGTTATTATCATTTTTATATAACATCTTAACGAGTTTTATATTATCTCGTTTGAGTAAGTCGTTAAAATGATATTGTCTGGTTTAAAGACGACTTACCGTTATTTTATGAGATATTTTATATTTATTACAAGTATATTATATATATATATATATATATATGCAATGATCGTTCTTAATTCATTAAAAAAGAAATCTTATTTAAAATTCATCAAAGTTTCTTCATTATCATTTTATGATCTTTATTACATTATCTATTTTTCTATCTATCTAAATTTAAAAACACTACTCAATTTATATAATAATTTATTTCAATTAAATGTGTGATATAATTAATAATAGATTATATATTTATTTATATGAAATTTTCGTTAAAAACTAAAACTACAATAATCGACACAATAATAATAAAAAAAAAAATAAATTTTGAAAACACGAATCCATTATATGGAAATTAATTCTCATGAATAAAATTGTTAACGATTATAACATTTCATATATACGAAAACAAGTCAATTAAGTATAAACATCGGAATTATATCGAAACCGAGAACATTTATATCCAATTAAAACGAAAAGCGGCATCTCTTTATATAATATAAATGTATTTAAAGTTTTTAAACAATCGTCTCGAAATTACTCTTCTTCCATTTGTTCATAAACATTTCATCTTTTTGAACCCTGATTAAAGTATACTGTGCTCGTAATATTCCAATTAAGTTTAATATTATCGAATCATTCGCTAATTACGAAATAAATTAATAACAAAATTCTTTCTCTCTCTCTCTCTATTTCTAACGAGTATTTAATAAACAAATAAAAAATTGCGTCTTAAGTATAAGAAACCACAAAGTGCTTTTTTTTTTCCTTTACATAACACATACATATATATATAAGTATTAGAATCTAACTATAGTAAGTGTTACCTGTATATTATCGTCTTGTATACTCAGAGAGAAAAAAAAGAAAAGAAGAAGAAGAAAAAATAACGTCGTCACATTGCACGAAGCATCCTTACAATGGAAACTACTTAACCCTCCGCTTGCCCTTGCCCTAATCTCGTTTAAGCGCACACCCGGTGAGTGACAGTCTCTTATCTCGGGTCAACTGTTCATGCCAACGAACAAACCGCGACTTATTCGCACCTTCAAATTCACATTTTTATCAACTAAACTAGATTTTTTTTTTTACCTCTTATTTTCTTCTTTTTTTACATTTTTACATTTTTACGTTTTAAATATACATGACGAGATTGAAAGAAAAATTCATGCGTATTAAATCGTGTTAAAACTTTACTTTGAAATTGTACATAACAACGAAGAGATTGTTTTTTGTTTCTATTGTGTGTATTGTAAAAAAATTGCACGAATTTTTTGATTTGTCTTACATTTAAATTGAATTTGTGATTGTAAAATCTGAGGAGAACAAATGGAATTAAATATAAAAGTTAATTTCTAATATTAATTATATATAATTTAATATAATATTATTAAAAATATCATTTAAACAGGGGAATTATATAATAAATGATAATAATTTCACAAAAATTAATATGTATAAATGATTAATTTAATTTTGTATTCGAGAGTAAAATCACAATTCGTATTCAATTATAATATATAAACGTTTTTGAATTCAACTTAATTCCAACGAGAATATCCAATACTTTTTTTTACCCCCCACCCCTTCTTTTTCTTCTTTCTAATTGTAAATAATAATGATAATAAACCTTCTCGCTTAATTGGCAGGTTATTTGTGTTGCAGATAATTATCGGGCACTCGTGTATGATTTTGCAAACGATCTGTTTTTCTTTCTTCTTCTTCTTTTTTTTTTTTTTTTCTATTTTTATTGATCGACGTTAACTATCGGGTATACTTTTACCATCGTGGGTAATAAATATGTGTCTAGTTTAGTTTATAGCTTAGGTTTCTTCTCTCTCTCTCTCTCTCTCTCTTTCTTTTTCTCTCTTATAACATCCTTTTAGTCTCGGCTTGTCAATGCTCGAAACTACCGTTGTTACACGGTTGTCTTTATCAGTACCTGTCGATAAGAACGTCCATATGTCTCTTTTCTTTACCTTCTTTTTCTTTTTTTTTCTTTTCTTTTCTTTTCTTTTTTACTCTCTCTCTCTCTCTCTCTCTCTTTTTTTTTCTTTCCATGCTTTTACCAGACTTTAAACTTATCAAACGAAATAAGATAAATAAACGTCAGAAATATTTTCG